CTACGGTCAAATAGAACTGGAGGAAGACCTCACTCATCAGTGGACTAGGGGAGGGACAGAGGGGAAGAAGAGGGAGGGAGGGTAGAATTGGGAGGAGACAAGGGAGGGGACCACAGCCAGGACACCAATTGAATAAATTGCAATAAATGATAATAATGAAAGAGAAGTAATCCCTTTCCAATTTGTATCCTCTTGATCTCCTTTAATTGTCTTATGCTCTTGCAAGGACTTCAAGAACTATATTGAAGAGATATGGAGAGAGTGGGCAGCCTTGCCTTCTCCCTGACTTCAGTGGTATTGATTTAAGTTTCTCTCCATTTAGTTTGATATTGGCTATAGGGTTACTGTATATTGCCTTACTATGTTTAGGTAAATGCCTTGTATCCTTGATCTCTCCAAGACTTTAAACATGTATTGGTATTGGATTTTATCAAATGCTTTTTCAGCATCGAAGTAGATTTCATGTGTTTTTCTTTTCTTTCAGTTTGTTTATATGGTGGATCACATTGATGGATTTCCATATATTGAACCACCCCTTCATACCTGGGATGAAGCCTACTTGGTCATGTTGGATGATAGCTTTGATGTGCTCTTGTATTTGGTTTGCAAGTCTTTTGTTGAGTATTTTTACATCGATGTTCATAAGGGAGATTGGCCTGAAATTCTCTTTCTTTGTTGTGTCTTCGTAAGATTTCAGTACCAAAGTGACTGTGGCTTCATAGAATGAGATTGGTAGTGTTCCTTCTGTTCCTATTTTGTGGAATAGTATGAAGAGTATTGGAGTTAGCTCTTCTTTGAATGTCTGGTAAAAATCTGTGCTGAAACCATCTGGCCCTGGGTTGGTTTGTTTGTTTGTTTGTTTGTTTGTTTGTTTTTTGGATGAGAGACTTTTGATGAATGCTTCTATTTCCTTAGGGGATATAGGACTATTAAATTGATTTACCTGGTCTTGATTCAACTTTGGTAAGTAGAGAAAATAGGGCTGAGAAAGAAATTAGTGAAACAACACCCTTTACAATAGCCATATAGGACATAAAGTACTTTGGATTGACTCTAACCAAGCAAGTCAGACTTTTATAAAAAAAATTCCAATCTCTAAAGAAAAAAATATCAGAAGATGGAAACATCTCCCATGCTCATGGCTTAGCAGGATTAACATAGTAAAAATGGCCATCTTTCCAAAAGCAATCTACAGATTCAATGCAATTCCCATCAAATTACCAACATAATTCCTTACAAACCTTGGAAGAAAAATTCTCAACTTCATATGGAATAACAAGAAACCCAGAATCGCTAAAACAATCCTCAACAATAAAAGATCTTTGGAGATATCTCCATCCCTGATCTCAAGTTGTAGTATAAAGCAACAGTAATAAAAACTGCATGGTACTGGCATAAAAACAGAATGGTGGATCAATGGAACCAAACAGAAGACCCAGAAATAAACCCACACACTTATGGACACCTGATTTTTGACAAAGATGCCAAAACCATACAATGGAAAAAGAGATAGCATCTTCAACAAATGGTGCTGGTCCAACTGGATGTCTACATGTAGAAAAATGAAAATAGATCCATACTTATCACCCTGCACAAAACTGAAGTCCAAGTGTATCAAAGACCTCAATATAAAACCAGACACACTAAACCTCTTAGAAGAAAAACTGGGGAAGAGCTTGAATTCATTGGCATTGGAGACAACTTCCTGAACAGAACACCAACAGCATAGGCTCTAAGATCAATGAATGGGACTTTATGAAACTGAAAAGCTTCTGTGAAGCAAAGGACACTGGTGTCAGAACAAAATGCCTGCCTACAGATTGGGAAAGGATCTTCACCAATTCTATATCTGACAGAGAGCGAATATCCAGAATATATAAAGAACTCAAGAAGTTAAAAAGCAACAAATCAAGTAATCGAATTAAAAAATGGGGTGCAGAGCTAAACAGAGAATTCTCAACAGAGGAATATCAAATGGCAGAGAAACACTTAAAGAAATGTTCAGCATCCTTAGTCATCACAGAAAAGCAAATCAAAACGACCCTGAGATTTCACCTTACACCAATCATAATGGCTAAGATCAAAAACTCAACTGGCGACACGTGCTGGAAAGGATGTGGAGAAAGGGGAATCCTACTCCATTGATGGCAGGAGCATAAACTTACACAACCATTTGGAAATCAATCTGACACTTTCTCAGACAGTTATGAATAGCACTTCCTCAAGATCCAGCTATACCACTCCTAAGCATATATCCAAAAGAGGCTCAAGTACACAACAAGGACATTTGCTCAACCATGTTTGTAGCAGCTTTATTTATAATAGCCAGAACCTGGAAACAACCCAGATGTCTCTCAACTGAGGAATAAATACAGAAATTTGGTACATTTACACAATGAAATACTACTCAACAATTAAAAACAAGGAAATCATGAAATATGCAGGCAAATGATGGGATCTAGAAAAGATCATCCTGAGTGAGGTATCCCAGAAGCAGAAAGACACACAGGGTATACACTCACTCATAAGTGGATATTAGACATATAATATAGGATAAACATACTAAATCTGTACACCTAAAGAAGCTAATCAAGGAAGAGGGTAAGATGCTCAATCCTCATTCAGAAAGTCAAAGAGAATGGACATCAGAAGAGGGGGGAAAACAGGGAGCAGGAAAGGAACCTACCACAGAGGGCCTTTAAAAGACTGGACCCTGCAGAGTCTCAAAGCAGATGCTGAGACTCATAGCCAAACTTTGAGCATAGTGCAGGAAATCTTATGAAAGAAGGAGGAGATAGAAAGACCTGGAGGGAACAGAAGCTCCACAAGGGGAGCAATAGAACCATAAATTCTGGATATAGGGGGTTTTTATGAGACTGATAATCCAACCAGGGACCACTCATGGAGATAACCTAGAACCCCTGCATAGATGTAGCCCATGGCAGCTCAGTGTTCAAGTGGGTTCCTTAGTAATGGGAACAGAGACTTTCTGCCATAAACTGATTATCCCTCAGGGGGGTGCAGCCTTACCAGGCCACAGAGAAAGACAATTCAGCCAGTCCTGATAAGACCTGATAGACTAGGATCAGATGGAAGGGGAGGAGGACCTCCCCCATCAGTGGACTGGGGAAAGGGCATGGGTGGAGAAGAAGGAAGGAGCATGTGATTGGGAAGGAAAGAGGGAGAGGGCTACAGGAGGGATGCAAAAGGAATTTACTGTAATTAATAAAAATAAATAAACAAATAAAGATTAAAAAAGTAATCGCTTCACTGCTGACAAATAATACTAAATATATAAATACCATTTTTCTTTTCTTTTCACTATCAGGACCAGATTTGAATTCTCGGCCTCTGCCAAATTGAAGTACCTGTAATATCAATAAAAAAGGCAAATAAATATACTTTGCAGAGAAGTACACATGAAAAATAACATATTTGTAAAAATCGACCAGTAATTCTTATGACCAAATAACACATAAATAACTAACCAAAGAGGCTCCAACTGAGCTCATATAATGTCACTAGAGTGACTTAATACAAATTGAAAAAATTGTAATAAATGATAATAACAACAATAATAATAAAAACAAAACGAAGAAATACAGGAATATCATATAGAGAAAAACTTTTAAAATATAAATAAAATTTTAAATAAATAAATAGTAGAGGGAAAAACATTCTTTAAATGAAACTTTTTAAAAATCTATTTTAAGTTGCTTATGGCTTTACTGTCATATACTTCAGGATATTTATGACAATGTTAAAAATATCCTAAAGTAAAATTTGCTAGTTTTGCATATTTTACTCAATGATATTTTGAAAAGAGAGCTAAGTGTCAAATTACAAAATCTACTAAGGTCAATACCTGCATAAAAAGAAAAAAATGTGTTCTTCCCAGTGCAATATTACTCGTGTGTAAAGGGAGGACATTTGGGAGTTTGGTAGCAAAAAGGATAAAGCTAGGATTCCATATATGGAAACTTACTTAGTTTATTTCATAGAAATGTAAAAGTCCTATTATATGTGATGTGTAATATTTTGTCTCAACAAGTACAATTAGGATTTTGGCTCCTGTTTCCCATAATCTCGGCTCCTATTTCCCAAGTAGTAGAAAAACATTAGGGCATACATTGGAACAATATTTATGCCTCATACATTAACTTTCCCTTGGCCTCTTTTTAACCTGCTTCCTCTTTAAGACCACTCCATAGATATTAGTTTCTCTTCCTCAAAATGGATCACAGAAACTAAGAATATAACCTTCCTTCCTTCTTCTATCTTTAACAATGCCATCAAGAAATCCTCTAAACTTCTTGTTTGATAGAAGTCCTTAGGAAAAAACACCACTTGCTCCATATCTAGAGAAAGAGTACTGAAAGTATCCTTTTGGATAAAGGAAAAAAAATCCCGTCTTGATGGGTGTTCTCAGTGTCAGTCTGTTAGCATCAGATCACACTCTAGACCAGTTATCTTGCTATCTGATCTTTCAAAAACACAATGGAGTCTCCCTAAAATGCCAGATGACAGGGTTCAGAAAGTAGGTGAACATCTGGAGATTCCCATAGGTTTGTGCTCTAGGAAAGGTCATGGAAAATGTTGGCGTAGGCACTCCAAACGTTACCTTACCCATTTCTTCATCTACACAGTTTGTAGAATTCTTTAGGAAGAGCCAATAAATAAGCATCTTGTGCTGTGTGCCAACTAGCAAATTAACTGAGATAAGTTTTATGGGAATTTAGGTTTATAGCTGTTTGGTCAGAACAGGAAAATAGCCCAGAGCTCTGACTGTACCTGAAACAGAGAAGAAACCTTGGGGACCCAACCTTCAGCTGTGGGATCTAATGGTATTTGTGGGTACAAAGTAGCAGAGTTTAGTGAATTTGAGTATGCACTGTGCACACGTCTAGCCTCAGAAGTAATGCATGCTGTAAAAACTGTTAGAAGAAAGTAGGTTTGAGTATGTTTTGTCTTGATATCCTCAACTGAAACAGGAAAAAGATGGAGGAAAATTGGTCATCTGGTACCAGAACATAGCTAGACAGCAACAATAAGATTGTGTATTCTGCTCAAAACAAGGTGAAGCTAATTCGCAATCTATTCTATATTGTGAAAAGATTTAGAGGCCAGGGATTCAGAAAGTCCTAAAACAGAAATGCAAATATTCGAGAAAAGCAAAATATGATCAGTATGCACTGTATATATATCTTATCTCATTGTACCCTATAATAAGTATATAAATTAAACAGAAAAATGTGAAAAGGTACAGTGTTCAATTGATACCACCATCTGGAAAATTTAATCAAAACTGCTTTTGCCTCAGTTGTCTGAAAAACTCAGATTTAATTTTTTTTTCTAGCTAATTTATTTCTAGTAACAAATAATAACTTGCCATGTACAAACCTTCATGTACCCTTCATGCTCATGCCAGCACTTTACTTGGAAGCTAGCAGGAAGGATGTGGTCCTCCTGTTTCCGCTACAGTGTGCCACAGTGTAACGTCCTGGGCCCAGATTGCAATAGCAGTGACAAACATCCTACCACGAGATGTACTGACTCAAAATAACAGAGTAAGGACCACCTGCCCTAAAATAATGAGGCACATAGCAAGCTCTTTAGACTCGTTGGAACTGAAGTCATTAATAATTAAAGCATGGGCAAGCATTACCCATAAATATATTCGCGTAAAATGGACTCAAAATAGAGTCCGCCTAAGAACGAATCTATAGGTAAACCTTATTAACCAATTAAAAATCATTATTTAGTTGTATTCACATACCTATGTATTCACATACATATGTATATATGTGATTACATATGTGATTACACACATATATACATATGGATGTTTTGCTATATATTTTATTCTCTCTCCCTCTCTCTCTCTGTATGTGTATACAATGTATACACATACAGAGGGTGCTTATAACAACTTTAACAAACAAACAATTTTACACAATATTTTAACGTTTAAGTACTACCTCTGAGCTCTTTCATTTCAACAAGGCAACCAGGGTTTAAATAAAGATGTGACCAAACAGAATGTGAAAACAATTCTTTTGTTGCTGTTTTGTTCAAGATAGAGTATTACTTTGTATTTCTGGGCTGTCATAAATTCATTGTGTTCTGCACATTGTTCTAGAACTCATGGCTATCCTTCTGCCTCAGCCCCTCAAAGCTTCAATTGCAAGAGTGAGCCACCACACACATCTATACTTCTTTAATTGTTCCTATAAGCAGGATGCTGAGCAGTTTTACTGCTTAAAGTCTGAATGTTAGTTTTAAAAACAGGTTTATTATCAAATCAAAACAGTATCTGGCGCCAAACTAAAATGTATGACCTTATCATTCAGCTATTTTTCTGGAGGACACAGGATCTTAAATTATTTTTGAAAGAACAACTTTCTTGTTGGGAGAGGATGTCACTGTGCAGCCTGGACCTTGCTATTTAAGCCAGGCTTGCCTTGAACTCAATGGAGATTTGGCTGCCAGAATTAAAGTTGTGAGCCACCACAGTTGACCCCAAACAACTTCAAATAGGTATCTCACAATGGACTTCATCATATGGTGCAGTATTTTCTAAGTGTTTTGAGAGATATTATTGTAAAATGTGGGCTATTCGATTTTCAGGACCCAGATGAAAGTAAACAAACAAACAAAAACACCATTTAACTTTTATACAATAGAGGATGGTTGGCTTTACCACTCACCTGGGACATCTGGTCTGCAGTGGTCCCTTTGGTACCCAAATACACCATAGCCAAGGAAGTAGAGATGCCCCAAGGCGAAAAGAAGATGTTTCTACCCTCAGCAGACTCAGCTAGCTTCTTGCTAAACTCCAGGGCAAACTGGTTGACAGACACTGCTAGAGATGCCATTGGGAAAAAAACCTATGAAAAGCATAAGATAGAGAACATGTAAATGTTAAATCTTTTCCATTTAAGTTATTTTTATAAAAGCATTTGTCCACATAGAGATTCAGCTATATGTACAACTATTCATAAGGACAGAATTGATTTTAACAAAATTCTAATCCACCAACCTCTGTTTGGCTCTCCCTGATTCCTGGGGTCATTGGCCACTGGTTCTCAGGAAAAAGGGAGCAGCAGCGATGAACTGGGGATTTGAATGGCCCACAAATATGATGGAATGACCTCCCGGGAATACTTCAGTGAGATGGCTCAGCTTTATTTCTTTATTCAAGGTAAACAGAGGCTACATAGTTCTTGTGGCTTGGGGGAAAGTACTCCCAGGATAGATGTACATAATTTCTTGGAATTAGAAATTTCAAGGATTTTTTTTTTTTTATTTGGCAGCATGGTCCTATCATATGAATAGGAACACAGCACCTGATTATTCTATAGGCACAGGGAGAGCGAGTGCTAGCAGGGAACTGTGCCAAAGGTCCTATATGAGATATTATTAGAGGTATCTGCGCCTAAAGACACTCTCCAGATGAGGTCAGGCAGAGACTAGGTGACCCTGCTGAGGAGAGAAAGTCCTCCATCTAGGGCTGAGCTTAGAAATGCTATCCAGACCTGAAGGACTATAACTTCAACCAGCAGGGCCCTCCAACTATTATCTCTTATATTCTAACACTAAAACCCAGAGAATATAAGAGGCTTACTTTAAAGATTTGTGCTTCTGTGCCTCATAGAACAGCTGGATTCTGACCAGCGGACAGGTGAGTGCCATGGCAATAGTTTTTTCCATTTCCTTGTCATTCATTACCTTCATGCCTCTTTGTAGCCTTCCTAATACTTGGAAATAATATTTTCTTCATATATTGCCTGGGATACCTAACAGCAGATAGTTTGGCACTTTGTCCTAAGTAGTTATTTATAGGTAGTTATCAATTGTCTGTACTGTTTGGAAAACACTCTGTATTATTTATTTTAACTTGATATTATGCACAATTGAGTTTGAAATCCCTATACAGAAATTGAGTGTAGCTTTCCCTTTTTTTTTTCTTATCTACTTTTCTTTAACAAGAGAATTAAAAAATTTCCATTTTATTATACTACATTCATCTTCGAAATTTCACCTGTAATTGCCCTGGTATTTGAATTTAAAATGCCTTTAATTGTATATTAACTCACTACTACTCTATAATCAAATAATTTTCAAATTGATTAAATGACTGATACTGAATGCTTAAGCCTGGGACCTTGTAGTTGTGTAGTGGGGAGTTGAGTCTTGTTTCAACATCACATTTCTACTAAGAAATCTACAAGAAAGGCTTTGGGAAGTTCAGGAGTTCTCTCTCTGTGGTTAAAAACCGGAAACAAGGACATTGGTTGTGGTATGACTTTATTTGTACTGTGATTCTCTTGAAATCCCTCCCACCCATAGAGTCACACTTGAACAAACAACTTTTCAGGCTCAGGGTCACACCCAAGGTGTGGTTTTTATCCACTGTGAAATTCCCGGAGGAGACGGGGTGAACACTCTCTGAAGAAATAAAACCCCTTCTTGTGTTGTGGTTACTATACACTCTCACCAAGCCTTAGAAACTTGCTGGTAACCTCTTCCCACAGAATCCGTTCTCATAAATAACTCTACTTTCTTTAAGTTCATATTCATTCAGGTCACATTTTTGTTACACAATCTGTAGTTTTAAAACACATGAAGTATATTCACGGGAGCACTGTTTGGCTCTGTGGCAAATCTGGAAGGGCAGAGAGCAAGCAACAACTTAGGGCACAGTAATTTTATATCTAAGCATGAAGATTATGCTTAATATGGAACTTATTTAAGCACAGTGATTCATGAAAATCGTACTTTTTTTAACAAAAGGAGATGCACTTTTGTGAAAAGTTACTATCCACTTATCATCAGTCTTATTAACATCAACGGTAATGTATGAAGTATAGCCGAAAACATACAATCAAGAAACCTCTCTGACAATGCTCTTTAAAAAAAATGTAAGGAATTGCTAGGCTACCACTTAACCAAATAGCCAGAAAAAAATTGCTGAAAGGTACAGAATTCTAGGGTGAGATTTTATTGGAAATAACTGAGATATAAGCATTGAACAATCAAAAGCTTTATGTGACATAATCTCTTTCTCTCTGGGTCTATGTTTGTGTTAGTGTCTATATCAGTCTGCTTGTCTCTGTCTCTCTCTTTTCCTCCCTTTGAGTGTGTGTGTGTGTATGTGTACAGATGCATGTGTGGATACTATACATGCAGAGACATAGGACAGTCTTCATGTTGTTTCTCAAGAAATGTCCACCGTACTTTTTGGACAAGGAGTGTCACTGGCCTGAGAGTTACCAGGTAAGTCAGACCAACTGACGAGCAAGCCTCACGTATCTACCTGTCGCCACCTCCCTAGCACTGAGATAATAAATGGGAATTACCATGCCCAGCTTTTTACATGAGTTCTGGGCATCAACATCAGGTCCTCATGCTTGTGATGCAAATATTTTATTGATGTAACTATTTGGCCATCCCCTTACTGTATCATTTATAAAATTGTTCTTTTGAAATTTTCAGATGTTATAAAATGAATATATATATATAACATATATTATAGGTAATATTAGCTATATACATTGAAGAAGACATTAAATTAGAAAAGATTGTGATATCTAGTACTCAGGGAGGTAGAGACAGGGAGTTAGAGACAGGGAGGTAGAGACAGGTGAGTTCGAGGGTAGCCTGATCTACAAAGAGAGTCCAGGGCAACCAAAGCTACACATAGAAACAATGTCTCAAAAAATAATATAAAATAAATTAAGTCTACCATTATAAATAAACATGTCTCTAACATAACAACTTGGACAAAACCTTAGAACCACCCTAGTTCAACAGTCCCATTTAATCTCCTAAGAAAGTCAGGACCAGGGAAGTTAGATGACTGACTAATGATACATAGCTGATGGAACCGTGAAAAGCGCAACCCTGTTCTCTCCACTATGAATACAAATCTTTTCATCAGTGTAGCTAATGGTCTATAGGATTTTGATGGCAAGAGCACTATTGAGTAATATAAGGTCCACAGGGAGCAAAAGAAGTTTAAAAGAGGGATCAGGAAAAAGTAGAGGCTGTGACAAGACGACGGTTACTCTTGTTTTTTGTACCATGAAAGAATGCCCAAGATCTCTGGCTTGTCACCTCTGCTGATATTTCTGAATCTTACTTTATGAAGCTATGCATGACAGAATATGACATCTTCATAACTTCCCAGCCCTTCTTTATTTCACAGAGCACTTTCTTTTTTTTTTGGGGGGGGGAGGGGAATATGTTGGAGTGGTTCTGAGGAGTAAGGTGTGCCCAGAGACTCAGTGGTTCCACAGCAGAGAGAGAGAGAGAGAAGTTAGAGGTACATGGAATGTTGACAGGCAGGAGAAGGGGTTCTGTAGATGGCACAGCCAAACCATTAGTTCCATCTATCAGAGTTCTCACTGTCAAACCACCCCATCTGAAGAGTTAGAAGGGTTGGGAATCAACTATTGTTAAATTGTCAGATAAAACTCAGTAGCTGGCAAATCCAAACACGACTGAAGGAAAGAAATCCATTCCTGTTTTTCACAACTCCAAGTGGAACATCCAAAGCTTCCTTGAAAGTAATATGAATTCCTCTTAGTCAATCAAACTTCAAACCAATTCAAGGTTAAGTATCTGATTTGTGCAGAAAAATGCTAAGGGGATGGAACCTCACCTATTAGCCTGAGTTTCGAGTGGAAGACTTGGTAATTTCCTAGGCACTACAATAAGAAAAACATAAGTATTTTAACTGAAGAAATATTTACAATACCTTATTTCCCTCTCCTGGAGCAGACTTGGCAAATTGTTCCTTTAGTAAGAGACTGTGGCTGAAGAGTTAGGTAACTTTTAACTGAAGAAATTTTTTTAAAGAAACAGTTGCAGCCCCTCCTTCTTCTGAGCCCCACCCTCGAACCCCTTTCATGAGCCAGCACACTCTTCCTTCTTCAGGTTTATCTTGGCCAAAACTTCAAACAAATCAGAGAGATAGACAGCTGAGTTCTTGCCCGAATTATTAATTACCCACATTTTCCATGTATGACTGCATGTAGAGACGTGAATTCTGACAAATGGTAACTCATACATTCCAAGCTAAATCCCTTCTCTAAGTTGCTAACTGACAGCAATGAATAGTTTCCACTAGTGTGTTTCTTTTTAAAAATGAATGGTTTCAAGTGGAACAATAATGGGTTATAAAACAGAAAATATTTTCACTGAGTCATTTGTTGCTGATCTGTTAAGGTTTCTCTTGAAGTGTTTTGGGAGAAACAGGCCTCCTTCTGTTCTTGCTGGCAATGCTAGAATAGAATGGAGAGTGTGAAGTAGATCTGGGCCAAATCTTCCACCAACAAGAACAAGGCTTCTGTTAATGTGTTGGATACCTCTGTTATGTGGCACATTGCTCATCATTTTCTGCTTTTCTTTTTCTTACTGATAGCCTTCATATGGCCACTCTTCTTTATCACACAAGAAAAAGCAATAGAGCACGAGTGCCATTTCTGGGAACATGGAGGAATGATCAGGAGAGTAAAGAGAGGTATGGGAATAATAATAACAGTGAAAACTCAGAGAAACTGAGGGGCCTTTCTATGAACTAAGTCCTGTTTCCACTTCTCATATGTGCATACATCTCTCTGGTAAACTGAAGACCAGTATAGAGTCCACAGTGGAGAGTTGTTTGTATTGCACAAGTGAAAAAAAAAAAAACTTATGGGAGGAAATTTGATGTCCCTGCTGGGCCTGTAGAGAGCAGATACTACTATCTATGTCTAGCTCTATTCTTAGCTGAATGCATTGTGCACAGGCTCTAGAAAAACAGACCACTGGCTTTGACTGACTGCAGTAAAGCAGGGTAATTAGGGCTGCTCAGCCAGGAGGCTTGTGCTAG